AGCAAATGGAGAGCAAAAAAAACCAGTAGTTGCAGTTCTCGTCTCTGAAAAAATAGACTTTAAAACAACAAAGATCAAAAGAGACAAAGAAGGACATTACATAATGGTAAAAAAAAATCGATACAATAAGTGCCAATGATCCTAAATATATATAGACCCAATACAGGAGCATCCAGATATGTAAGGCAAGTTCTTAACGACTTACAAAGAGACTTAGACTCCCACACAGTAATATTGGGAGACTTTAACACTCCACTGTCAATATTAGACAGATAAACCAGACAGAAAATTAACAAGGATATCCTGGACTTGAACTCAGACCTGGAACAAGCAAACCTGATAGACATTTACAGAACTCTCCACGCCAAATCCACAGAATATACATTCTTCTCAGCACCACATCACACCTACTCTAAAATTGACCACATAATTGGAAGTAAAGCACTGCTCAACAAATGCAAAACAACTGAAATCATAACAAACAGCCTCTCAGACCATAATGCAATCAAGTTAGAACTCAGAATTCAGAAACCGACCCAGAAGGGCACAGCTTCATGGAAACTGAACAACTGGCTCCTGAATGTTGACTGGGTAAACAACGAAATGAAGGCAGAAATAAAGAAGTTCTTCGAAACCAATGAGAACGAAGACACAACGTGCCAGAACCTCTGGGACACATTTAAAGCAGTCTCCAGAGGAAAATATATAGAAATAAGTGCCCATATGAGAAGAGTGGAGAGATCCGAAATTGACACCCTATCATCAAAATTGAAAGAGCTAGAAGAGCAAGATCAAAAAAACTCAAAACCTAGCAGAAGACAAGAAATAACTAAGATCAGAGCAGAACTGAAGGAGATAGAGACACAAAAAACCCTTCAAAAAATCAATAAATCCAAGAGCTGGTTTTTTGAAAAGATCAACACAATAGACAGACCACTAGCCAGACTGATAAAAAAGAAAAGAGAGAATAACCAAATAGATGCAATATAAAAGAATAAAACGGAAATCACCACAGATCCCAAAGAAATTTAAACCATCATCAGATAATCTTACAAACAACTCTATGCACATAAACTAGTAAACCTGGAAGAAATGGATAAATTCCTGGACACTTGTGTCCTCCAAAGCCTAAACCGGGAGGAAGCCAAAACTATGAACAGACCAATAGCAAGGTCTGAAGTTAAGGCAGCAATTAAGAGCCTAACGCACAAAGAAAGCCCAGGTCCAGATGGGTTCACAGCCGAATTCTACCAGACAAGCAAAGAGGAGCTGGTACCATTCCTTCTGAAACTATTCCAAATAATCCAAAAAGAGGGAATCCTTCCCAAATCATTTTATGAGACCAACATCATCCTGATACCAAAACCAGGCAGAGACTCAACAAGAAAAGAAAACTTCAGGCCGTATCCATGATGAACATAGTCACAAAAATCTTCAATAAAATACTGGCAAGCCGATTGCAACAACACATCAAAAAGCTTATCCATCATGATCAAGTAGGATTCATCCCGGGGATGCAAGGCTGGTTCAACATACACAAGTCCATAAACGTAATTCACCACATAAACAAAACCAAAAACAAATACCACATGATTATCTCAATTGATGCAGGGAAGGCCTTTGCCAAAATTCAACAGCCCTTTATGCTAAAAACCCTCAATAAACTCGGTATTGATGGAACGTATCTCAAAATAATAAAAACTATTTATGACAAACCAACAGCCAATATCATACTGAATGGGCAAAAACTGGAAGTATTTTCTTTGAAATCAGGCACTAGACAAGAATGCCCTCTCTCACCACTCCTATTCAATATAGTACTGGAAGTTCTAGCCAGAGCAATCAGGCAAGAGAAAGAAATAAAGGGTATTCAAATTGGAAAGGTGGAAGCCAAATTGTCTCTATTTGCAGACGACATGATAGTATACCTAGAAGACCCCATCATCTCAGCCCAAAAACTCCTGAAACTGATACGCAACTTCAGCAAAGTCTCAGGATATAAAAATCAATGTGCAAAAATCACAAGCATTCCTATACACCAATAAGAGACTTAAAGAGAGCCAAATTAAGAACAAACTGCCCTTCACAATTGCTACAAAGAGAATAAAATACATAGGAATACAACTTACATGGAATGTAAGGGACCTCTTCAAGGAAAACTACAAACCACTGCTCAACGAAATCAGAGAGGACACAAACAGATGGAGAAACATTCCATGTTCATGGTTAGGAAGAATCAATATCGTGAAAATGGCCATACTGCCCAAAGTAATTTACAGACTCAACACTATCCCCATCAATCTACCATTGATTTTCTTCACAGAACTGGAAAAATCCACCATGAACTTCATATGGAACCAAAAGAGAGCCCGCATAGCCAAGTCAATTCTAAGCAAAAAGAACACAGCAGGAGACATCAGACTACCAGACTTCAAACTATACTACAAGGCTACAGTAATCAAAACCGCATGGTACTGATACCAAAACAGAGATATAGACCAATGAAACAGGACAGAGGCATCGGAGTCAACACAACATATCTACAACCATACAATCTTGGATAAACCTGACAAAAACAAGCAATGGGGAAAGGACTCCCTATTTAATAAATGGTGTTGGGAAAACTGGCTAGCCATGTGCAGAAAGCAGAAACTGGACCCCTTCCTGACACCTTACACTAAAATTAACTCCAGATGGATTAAGGACTTAAATGTAAGACCCAGCACCATAAAAACCCTAGAAGAAAATCTAGGCAAAACCATTCAGGACATAGGAGTAGGCGAGGACTTCATCATTAAAACACCAAAAGCATTGGCAACCAAAGCCAAAATAGACAAGTGGGACCTAATCAAACTCCACAGCTTCTGCACGGCAAAAGTCACTAGAGTGAATTGGCGACCAACAGAATGGGAAAAAATCTTTGCAGTTTACCATCTGACAAAGGGCTGATATCCAGAATTTACAAAGAACTCAAACAGATTTACAGGAAAAAAACAAACAAGGCCATTCCAAAATGGGCAAAGGATATGAACAGACACTTTACAAAAGAAGACATACATGAGGCCAACAATCATATGAAAAAATGCTCATCATCACTGGTCATTAGAGAGATGCAAATCAAAACCACATTGAGATACCATCTCATGACAGTTAGAATGGCGATCATCAAAAAATCTGGAGACAACAGATGCTGGAGAGGATGTGGAGAAATAGGAACACTTTTACACTGCTGGTGGGAGTGTAAATTAGTTCAACCATTGTGGAAGACAGTGTGGTGATTCCTCAAGGACCTAGAAATAGAAATTCCATTTGACCCAACAATCCCATTACTGGGTATATATCCAAAGGACTATAAATCGGTCTACTATAAGGACACATGCACACAAATGTTCATTGCAGCACTGTTTACGCTAGAAAAGACCTGGAACCAACCCAAATGCCCATTGATGATAGACTGGACTGGGAAAATGTGGCACATATACACCATGGAATATTATGCAGCAATCAAAAATGATGAGTTCATGTCCTTTGTAGGGACATGGATGAACCTGGAGAACATCATTCTCAGGAAACTGACACAAGAACAGAAAATGAAATATTCTCACTCATAGGCCGTTGATGAACAGTGAGAACACATGGACACAGGGAAGGGAGCACTACACACAATGGGATCTATTGGGGGGAATAGGGGAGGGACAGCAGCAGGGTAGCTGGGGAGGGATAGCATGGGGAGAAATGCCAAAAATGGGTGAAGGGGAGGAAGGCAGCAAAACACACTGCCGCGTGTGTACCTATGCAACTATCTTGTATGTTCTGCACATGTACCCCAAACCCTAAAATGCAATTAAAAAAAAGAAATCAGTAACAAAAACATTGAAAAAAATCACAAATATATGGAAAGTAATCAAATTTTCCTGAAGAACAAATGGATCAAAGAAAAAAATTAAAAGGTAAATCAAAAAGTATTTTGAGACAAAGGAAAATGGAAATAACATATCAAAGCTTATAGGATGCAACAAATGTAGTTTTATGAGGGAAGTTTATAGCATTAAACATCTACATTAAAAAAAAATCTCCAATAAGGAACCTAATGTTATAACTCAAGGAACTAGAAAAAGAAGAACAAACTAAACCTAAATCTAAGTACAAAAAGGAAATAATAAATATCAGAGCAGAAGTAAACCAGAGACTAGAAAAGCAAAACAAAAGATTGAAAAAACTAAGAGTTTGTGTTTTAAAAAAATAAACAATATTGACAAACATTTACCTAGACTAAGAAAAGCAAGAGCTCACATAAATTAAATTAGGTATGAAAAAGGAGGCATTACAACTAATGTCCCATAAATACTAGGGACCATAAGGTACTACTATAACCAATTACATACCAAAAAATTGAACGACCTAGAAGAAATGAATGCATTCCTAGAAATGTGCAGCCAATAAAGGCTGAATCAAGAAGAAATAGAAAAACTGAACAGACTAATAATGAGTAAAAAAAACTGAATCAATAATAAAATATCTTCTCTCAATGAAAATTCCGGAACCAGAGAGCTTCATGGTGAAACACTACCAAACATTTAAAGAACAAGAAAACTAACACAGTTCTCTTCAAACTCTTCCAAAAAGTGGAAGTGGAGGGAAATTTTTCACTCATTTTGCAATGTCAGCATCACACTGATGCAAAGCCAAAACGAAAAAAACTACAAGAAAAGAAAATTACAGGCCAATATCCCTGATGAACATAGATGCAAACATCCTCAACAAAACACTAGCACATTGAATACAATAACACATTAATCAGATCATTCACCATAATTAAGGGGGGTTTATCCCTGGGATGCAAGGATGGTTGAACATATTCAAGTTAACAATGTGATACATAATAATAACCGAATGAAAGACAAAAACTATATGATCATCTCAACATGCACAGTGAAAACACTGGACAAAATCTAATGTATTTTCATGAGAAGAACTATCAGTAAATTAGATATAGAAAAATGTACTTCAACACATTAGAGGCCACATATGAAAACCTGCATTTAACATCATGATGGGTTTTTTTTTTTTTTGCATTTTACACTTTAACATTAATAAAAGAGTACATACAGTTATAGGCAAATGACAATTCAGTACACTTTAGATAATAGTTTAAAATTTACATTCTTCACCGCCATAGAATATTTTAGTCTATGTAGTCAAAGTCTTCTGGAATTCCAAAAGTTTTATCAATTTTATTTTCTTCAAACCCAAATTCTCTTTTGGCCCAAGATTTTATTGCAAATACGTTATCAGTCCATCTGTTAGCAGCTTCTTTGGCTACTTTATTTGCTTGGCGTATTTCTTCCACGACTTGTGGGTCACATCTTTGTATTTTTCTACTTCTGCCTTTAGCTGTTCCCTTTGGTCTCAAAGTGAAGAAAGTTCTTTTGCTAGCGTTTCGCTCTTCCGTTTTGCTAGCGTTTCGCTCTTCCGTTTCACATCTGCCAATTTTAGCTTTTTCAATGCTTTTCTGTAGGCTTGCATGCTTTTGGCTTCCCTCAGACAACTGAGATTCCAGAGCCTCCAACTTACGTTTCCTTGCATGAATAGCTTTACTTGGAAAAGCCCAATAATAATTAGAAGTTCCGATCCTCTCACAGTCAACCATAAGCTTTGAAGTCACTTCTTTTACTGACATAGAAGTAACGCCTTTCTCTTTGGGAGCGATCTTCTCCAAGTCTTTTAACTGAAATACATCTTTTGTTTCAAAAAATATTTCCATCATGCGAGTTCTCTTTTCTTCTGCACTCAATCCTTTCTTCTTTGACATGGCGCCGGCGCGGGGGCTTCAGCTGGCGGGGCCATCATGATGTTTTTAATGGTAAAAAGTTGAAAGTTTGTCCTCTAAGATAGGGAATTCAAGAATGACCACTCTCAGCACTTAATTCAAGATAGTTGTAAAAGTTTAGCCAGAGCAATGAGGCAAGAGAAATAAATAGCATTCAAATAGAAAAAGAAGCGAAACCGTTTCTGTTTGCTGATGACATTACCTAACACACAGAACATCCTCAAAGGGCCAGGCGTAGTGGCTCATACCTGTAATCTCAGCACTTTGGGAGGCCAAGACGGGAGGATCACTTGAGGCCAGGAGCTCAAAACCAGCCTGGGAAACATGGTAAAACCCTGTTGCTACTAAAATGACAAGAATTAGCTGGGTGCGGTGGCACATGCCTATAATCCCAGCTGCTCCAGAGGCTGAGGCAAGAGAATTGCTTGAGCCTGGGAGACGGAGGCTGCAGTGAGCTGAGATTGCTCCACAGCACTCCAGCCTGAGTGACAGAGCAAGACTCTGTCTCAAAATAAAACAAAACAAAGTCCACTGAAAAACTATTCAAACTGATAAATTCAGTCACCCTGTAGGGTACAAAATTAGCACACAAAACTCAGTAATATTTCTTAGCACAAACAACAAAGTACTTAAAAAAGAAATTAAGAAACCAACCCCATTCACAATGCCATAAACAAAATAATGAAGAGTAACTTTAATCAAGGAAGTGAAAAATCTGTATATGGAAAACAATAACATTGATGAAAAATTATAGTCAACATAAATAAATGCAGAGTTATCAAGTGTTCATGGGTTGGAAGAATTAATATTGCTAAAGTATCCATATTACCCAGAGCAATCTTCAGACTCAATGCAATCCCATCAAATTTTCACAAAAATAGAAACAATTCTAAAATTTGAATGGAACTACAAAAGACCTCCAAAGCCAAAGCAATCATGAGCAAAAATATAAAGCTAAAGGCATCATAGTACCTGACTTCGAAATTGATCACAAAGCTATGGTAACTAAAACAGAGTGGTTCTGACATAAAAACAGACACATTGGTCAGAGGAACAGGATAGAGAGATGAGAAATAAACCCATTCATTAAGGTCAACTCATTTTTTATAAAGATGCCAAGAACACACAATGGAGAAAAAAATAGTCTCTGCATTAAATACTGTTGGGGAACCTGGATATCCACAAGAATAATGAAATGTGACCCTTATCTAACACCATATACAAAAATAAACTCAAAACGGATTAATGCCTTTAATGGCTGGAGGTGGAAATATGCCCAAACAGAACAAACAGAGCAAACAGGTGAGAGATTATGGTACCTGGTTTTAACATATGAATGTTCACTGCAGCACTGTTTACAATCGCAAAGGCCTGGAACCAACCCAAACGCCCATCTATGATGGACTGGACAGCAAAAATGCGGCACATATATACCATGGAATATTATGCAGCCATAAAAAAACGATGAGTTCGTGTCCTTTGTAGGGACAAGGATAAACCTGGAAACCATCATTCTCAGCAAACTGACACAAGAACAGAAAATCAAACACCGCATGTTCTGACTCATAGGTGGATGTTGAACAATGAGAACACATGGACACAGGGAGGGGAGCATCACACACTGGGGTCTGTTGGGGGGAAATAGGGGAGGGACAGCAGGGGTGGGGAGTTGGGGAGAGAGAGCATGGGGAGAAATGCCAGATTTAGGTGATGGGGAGGAAAGCAGCAAATCACCCTGCCGTGTGTGTACCGAGGCAACACTCTTGCATGTTATTCACATGTACCCCAAAACCTAAAATGCAATTAAAAATTTTTAAAAAGGCGTCCGGCCGCTTCTCTCTGCTAGTCGCAGACGGCCAAGGCGGCGCCGCCGCAAGTTTTGACATTTTGGCGGCGGAGGCGCGCGCGGGCACTCCCTGGCCGAAGGCTACGGTGGTGGCCGACACTCCAGGGCCCCTTAGTCGCGCCCCGGTGCTCCCGCTACCCGGAGTCCGGCGGCCACGAGGCCCTGCCGCGCCCTCCAGCCCTCTTTCGTCCACCCGGCTGCCGCAGCCATGTCTCGGGAGCCCGAGGAGGTGAACCGGCTCACGGAGAGCACCACCGGTGCACTTAGGTTGGGGAGGGGTCTGTGGTGCGTCGGCGGGCCCACGTCCCCCTCCCAAGTTCTCGGAATCAGCGACCAGCGCTGGCCTGGCTGCCGGGCTTAAGCCTCCGGGACCAAAGACACCAGCTCGAGTTTCCTCTGAGAAAAGAAAGTGCCCAAGAATGTGGGGGAGAGACTCCCACTGTAATTAGGATCGCCAGAATGTTATGGAACAGTTCAATCCTGGGCTTCGAAATTCGATAAACCCAGGGAAAAATTATGAGAAAGCCGTAAATGCTATGATCCTGGCAGGAAAAGCCTACTATGACGGAGTGGCCAAGAGTGGTGAGATTGCCACCAATGTCGACTGAACTGGGCCATGTCCTCACAGAGATTTCAAGCACCCACAAGAAACTCAACGAGAGTCTTGATGAAAATTTTTTAAAATTCCACAAAGAGATTAGCCATAAACTGGAGAAGAAGATAGAACTTGACGTGAAATATATGAATGCGAGTCGCGGGGCAGGTACACAGGCTCGCAGCGCTCTTGCGGAGGTCTGCGGTGGCGGGAGCGGGCTCCGGAGAGCTTGAGAGCGCGGTGGGGCGGGGCGGGAGAAAGTGGCCGCCCGGAGGACGTGGGCGTTTACGTGTGGCAGCGGAAGAGTTTTGCTTTTGGTGCGCGCCTTCGAAAACAGTGCCTGCTGCTGACTAAGGGGTCCGCCTGAAACCTCCCCTCCTCCGCCCGCAGCCCAGGGCCGAGCTGGTTGGCCCGAGCCAGCGCGGGCGAGGTGGGAAGTGCGCCCGACCGCGCCCGGAGCCGCGCCCCCGAGTGCCCATGGCTACGCGGTGCTGAGCGTGAGCGCCCGCCTGGAACCCTTGCCCCAGCCGCTGGCGCCACAGGACGAGCCCGTGTTCGCGCAGCTCAAGCCAGTGCTGGGCGCCGCGAACCCGGCCCGCGATGCGGCGCTCTTTCCCGGCGAGGGAACTGAAGCATCCGCACCACCGCCCGCAGGCCCCACAGCGGGCCCAGCAGCGCGCAGCCGATCCGCGGCTGCCTCCGGAGGAGATGGTCCAGTATCAACATGAACGTGTTCCTCCCTGACATCACTCACCTGAGAACTGTCCTCTACAAATCCCAGAGACCCTGCGTCACACACATCAAGACAGAACCTGTTGCCATTTTCAGCCACCAGAGTGAAACGACTGCCCCTCCTCCGGCCCGACCCAGGCCCTCCCTGAGTTCACCAGTATATTCAGCTCACACCAGACAGCAGCTCCAGAGGTGAACAATATTTTCCTCAAACAAGAACTTCCTACACCAGATCTTCATCTTTCTGTCCCTCCCCAGCAGGGCCACCTGTACCAGCTACTGAATACACGGGATCTAGATATGCCCAGTTCTGCAAACCAGACAGCAGCAATGGACATTGTTAATGTTTCTATGTCAGCTGCCTTGGCAGGCCTTAACACACACACCTCTGCTGTTCCTCAGACTGCAGTGAAACAGTTCCAGGCCATGCCCCCTTGCACATACACAATACTCAGTCAGTTTCTTCCACAACAGGCTACTTACTTTCCCCCGTCACCACCAAGCTCAGAGCCTGGAAGTCCAGATAGACAAGCAGAGATGCTCCAGAATTTAACCCCACCTCCATCCTATGCTGCTATAATTGCTTCTAAACTGGCAATTCAGCATCCAAATTTACCCACCACCCTGCCAGTTAACTCACAAAACATCCAACCTGTCAGATACAATAGAAGGAGTAACCCTGATCTGGAGAAACGACGCATTCACTACTGCGATTACGCTGGTTGCACAAAAGTTTATACAAAGTCTTCTCATTTAAAAGCTCACCTGAGGACTCACACTGGTGAAAAGCCATACAAGTGCACCTGGGAAGATTGCGACTGGAGGTTCGCGAGATCCGATGAGCTGACCCGCCACTACCGGAAGCACACGGGCTCCAAGCCCTTCCAGTGCAGGGTGTGCAACCGCAACTTCTCACGCTCTAACCACCTGGCCCTGCACATGAAGAGGCACCAGAACTGAGCACTACCTGTGCCAGGTCCACTGGGTTCCCTTTCAAACAGCAAACCTAACTATTACTATTAAAAAAAGAGAGAGAGAAAACAACAAAAACTGGAAATGTATATTTTGTGTATTTGAGAAAACAGGGAATACATTGTATTAATACCAAAGTGTTTGGTCATTTTCAGAATCTGGAATGGTTGCTGTAATGTATATGGCTTTACTCAAGCAGATCTCATCTCATGACAGGCAGCCACATCGCAACATGGGTAAGGGGTGGGGGTGGAGGGGAGTGTGTGCAGCGTTTTTACCTAGGCACCATCATTTAACGTGACAGTGTTCAGCAAACCAATCAGCTGGCAGGCACCGAAAGAAGGATGGATTGTATGTCAAGATTTTACTTGGTATTGAGTAGGTTTTTTTCAATATTCGATAATTCCTTAGAGATATTACCAGGTATACCTGGCAATTCCCAAATAGCCATTGAACAAATGTGTGGGTTTCTGGGGGTCACTCTTGGCCAGCAAGAGGTTTCTAAACCTGAGTGGGGGAGGGCACGGGAAATAAAGACAGACAGAAAGCGGGGTCAGGAGGGGTGTGGAAATCTTATTCCGCACCAAATTTATTTCTCAAAGGCTCAGTATATATACATTTATCCAGGCTCTGGTTTACGTCATTGCAAGAGGAAATGGAAAACACTAGATGACCTACTCTACACAATAAAGATGGCAGATACACAATCAGTGGTTGTAAAAGATGATAGTCATTCCAGGTGCTCATAAAAGACATTTACATGGAGACATTGCTCCTCGTGACTGCAAGAGTTTTTGGTTTCAAACATCTGATTATCTTTTAAATAGATTCCCTTTGTCTGTTCCTGATTCTTTTATCTCGACTTCCCTCCTTCAGGAGGCCCTGTTTCTTGGCTCAAACCGCCAGTATTGTAAAACTCGCTTTGCAAGCATTTACATGGGCGGGCTCCCCACATGGGTTTTTATACATATATATATATGAGTTGCCTATATTTGCTATTCAAAATTTTGGAAATATGCAAATCAGCTTTATAGGTTTATTACAAGTTATTTAGGATTCTTTTGGGGAAAAGTCATAATTCTTTCGAAAATAACCATGAATACACTTACAGTTAGAATTTGTGGTAAGATCCCTCTCAACAGAGTGCGGCTCCCTTTCAAAAAAAAAAATTGTAGCATTCTGGGGCTTATGGTGCCCCCTCGTGCTGAGAGGCTGCCATGACCACAGGTTTAGGTAACAACACTCAATCCCCTTTGAATTTTCTTTTTTGTTGTTGTTGTTTAGTTTTTATTTTAAGTTTAGGGTTACCAGTGCAGGTTTGTTACACTGATAAACCTGTGTCCTGGGGGATTGTTGTACAGCTTATCTCATCACCCAGTTATTAAGCCTAGTACCCATTAGTTATTTTTTCTGATCCTCTCCTTCCTCCCACCTTTCACCTTCCAAAAATCCCAGTGTGTTTTGTTCCCCTCTATGTGTCCACATGTTCTCAACATTTAGCTCCCACTTATAAGTGAGAACATATGGCATTTGGTTTTCTGTTCCTGCCTCAGTTTGCTAAGGATAATGGCCTCCAGCTCCGTCCCTGTTCCTACAAAGGACATAGTCTCACTGCATAGAATTGCTTGGTGTATATATATTACATTTTCTTTATCCAGTCTTCCACTGATGGGCATTTAGGTTGATTCCATGTCTTTGCTATTGGGAATGGCGTTGCTAAGAACACACACGTGCATGTGTCTTTATAATAGAATGGCATATTCCTTGGGTATATACACAGTAACGGCATTGCTGAGTCAAATGGTATTTCTGTCTTTAAGGTCTTTGAGGAATCGCCACATTGTCTTCCACAATGGTTGAACTAATTTACACTCCCACCAACAGCATTCTTTTCTCTCCACAATCTTACCAGTATCTGTTATTTTTTTTTTTTTTTTTTTACTTTTTAATAATCATTTTGACTGGTGTGACATAGTATCTCATTGTGGTTTTAATTTGCGTTTCTCTAACAATTAGTGATATTGAGTTTTTTTCATATGCATGTTGGCTGCATGTATGTCGTCTATTGAGAAGTGTTTGTTCTTGTCCTTTGACCATTCTTTAATGGGGTTGTTTTCTTCTTGTGAATTTAAGTTTCTTACAGAGGCTGGATATTACACTTTTGTTAGATGCATAGTTTGCAAACATTTTCTCCCATTCTGTAGGTTGTCTGTTTACTGTCTTGATAGTTTATTTTGCTGTGAAGAAGCTCTTTAGTTAAATCCAATTTGTCAATTTTTTTTGTATTGCAATTGCTTTTGGCTTCATCATAGAATCTTTGCCTTGTCCATGTCCCTAATTGTATTGCCTAGGTTGTCTTCCAGGGTTTTTTTTTTAAGTTTTAGGTTTTACATTATTCAAACCAAATAAGAAAAAATATATAGTACTGTATATGCAAATTGAAACACTGTCTGTCAAATAAAAGACCTTATAATATACTTAGGAAACTCTAGAAAAAATTAAGAAGCCCATTTAGAAATTAATAGAATTAAGAAAAATAGTTAACACATACTCAAATCAGTAGTATTCTTAATTATTTATTTAATTCCCTTGAAAGTCTCATATACACCATTAAGTAGTCACATTCACAAACTTAACTTTCACAAATTCAGCAGCAGTCTTAGGAATACTAGGAGAAGAAGAACTCCATAGAAATGCAACTGTAATATTCAGTGAGGGAGGTGAATTTCTGCTCCATTCAATAGTCCAGGTCTTCATCAAGGTATCTTCAAGGCTGAACTAAAACCATAAATAGAAAAATGTCATTTTCCTCTCCATATGCATATAAGAATTCGTTACATTATAACACAGAGACAGACTTGCTTATGTTAAAAATTATACTACTTTCCTGATAAGAAACCTTAAATGTTATTTTTTTTAAACTTCTGTGTGCATAAGAATTACTTTTAGCCCATGGAAATACAGAGGAATTAACAAATGTCATTTTTAGGAGCTGGCAAGATGGCTGAATAGAAACAGCTCCAGTCTGCAGCTCCCAGTGAGATCAAAGCAAAAAGTGGGTGATTTCTGCATTTCCAACTGAGTGGTGCCTGGAGCCCCAGGGAGACCGAACCATTCACTCCACTGTAAAGGGGGCTAAAGCCAGAGAGCCAAGTGGTCTTACTCAGCAGGTCCCACTCCCACTGAGCACAGCAAGCTATGAACCACTGGCTTGAAACACTGCTAGCACAGCCATCTGAAGTCAATCGGACAATCAGGCTTGGTGGGCAAGGGACGTCTGCCATTACTGAGGCTTGAGTAGGCGGGTTTTGCCTGACAGTGCTAAGGAGGCCAGGGAGTTCAGTCTGAGCAGAACTCACCACAGCACGGCAAAGCGGCTGTGACCAGACTGCCTCTCTAGATTCCTCTTCACTGGGCAGGGCATCTCTGAAAGAAAGGCATCAGCCCTAGTCAGAAGGGTATAGATAAAATTCCCATCTCCCTGGGACAGAGAACCTGAGGGAAAGCGTAGCTATGGGCATAGCTTCAGCAAACTTAAATGTTCCCGGCTGCTGGCTCTGAGGCTAGCAGGGACTCCTGACAGAGAATTGTCCCAGCACAGCGCTGGAGCTCTGCTAGGGACAGACTGCCTCCTCAGGTGGATCCCTGACCCCCATGCCTCCAGACTGGGAGAGACCTCCCATCAGGGATTAACAGACACCTCATATAGTAGAGCTCTGGCTGGCATCAGGCCAGTGCCCCTCTGGGATGAAGTTTCCACAGGAAGGAACAGGCAAGAAATCTTGGCTGTTCTGCAGCCTCTGCTGGTGATACCTAGGCAAATAGAGTCTGGAGTGGACCACCAGCAAACTGCAGCAGACCTGCTGCAGAGAGGCCTGACTGTTAGAAGGAAAACTAACAAACAGAAAGCAATAACATCAACCTCAACCAAAAGGATACCCACACAAAAATCCCAACCAAAGGTCATCACCTCAAACATCGAAGGTAGATAAATCAATGAAGACAGAAAAAAACTGTGCATAAGTGCTGAAAATTCCAAAAACCAGAATGGCTCTTCTTCTAAATGATCACAACTCCTCTCCAGCAAGGGCACAAAACTGTGCAGAAAATGAATTTGACGAATTGACAGAAGTAGGCTTCAGAAAATGGGCAATAACAAACTCCTCCAAGCTAAAGGAACACATTCTAACCCAATGCAAGGAAGCTAAGAACTTTGAAAACGGTTACAGGAACTGCTAACACTAGAATAACCAGTTTACAGAAGAAACTAAATGATCTGATGGAGCTGAAAAATACAGCATGAGAACTTTCTGAATCATACACAAATATCAATAGCTGAATCAACTAAGTGGAAGAAAGAATATTAGAGATTGAAGAACAACTTACTGAAAAAAGGCATGAAGACAAGATCAGAGAAAAAAGAATGAAAACAAACAAACAAAGCCTCCAAGAAATGTGGGACTATGTGAAAAGACTAAACCTATGATTGATTAGTGTACCTAAAAGTGACAGGGAGAATAGAATGAAGTTGGAAAATACACTTCAGGGTATTATCCAGAAGACTTTCTCCAAACTAGCAAGACAGGCCAACATTCAAATTCAGGAAATATAGAGAACACCACAAAGATACTCCTCAAGAACAGCAACCCCAGGCAGGCACAGTGGTTCAAGCCTGCAATCCCAGCACTTTGGGAGGCTGAGGTGTGTGGATCACGAGGTCAAGAGATCGAGACCATCCTGGTCAACATGGTGAAACCCCATCTCTACTAAAAATACAAAAAATTAGCGGTGCATGGTGGCACATGCCTGTAATCCCAGCTACTCAGGAGGCTGAGGTGGGAGAATTGCCTGAACCTAGGAGGCGGAGGTTGCGGTGAGCGAGATCGTGCCATTGCACTCCAGTCTGGGTAACAAGAGCAAAACTCCATCTCAAAAAAAAAAGAAGAGCAACCCCAAGACCCATAATCATCAGATTCACCAAGGTTGAAATTAAGGAAAAAATGTTAAGGGCAGCCAGAGAGAAAGGTCAGGTTACCAACAAAGGGAAGCCAATCAGACCAACAGCAAATCTTTCTGCAGACACCATACAAGCCAGATGAGAGTGGAGGCCAATATTCAACATTCTCAAAGAAAAAAATTTTCAATCCAAAGTTTCATATCCAGCCAAACTAAGTTTCATAAGCAAAGGAGAAATAAGATCCTGTACAGACAAGTAAATGCTGAGGGATTTTGTCACCACCAGGCCTGCCTTACAAGAGCTCCTGAAGGAAGCACTAAATATGGAAAGGAAAAACCAGTACCACCACTGTAAGAACAAACCAAAATATAAAGATCAATGATACTATGAAGAAACTGCATCAACTAATGTGCAAAATAACCAGCTAGCATCTTGATGACAGGATCAAATTCACACATAATCATATTAACTTTAAATGTAAATGGGCTAAATGCCCCCAATTAAAAGATACAGACTGGCAAATTGGATAAAGAGTCAAGACTCATCAGTGTGCTGTATTCAGGAGACCCATATCACATGTGAAAACACACATAGGCTCAAAATAAACGGATGGAGACTTAACAAGCAAATGGAAAGCAAGAAAAAAGCTGAGGTTGCAATCCTAGTCTGATAAAACAGACTTTAAATCAACAAAGATGAAAAAAGACAAAGAAGGGCATTACATAACAGTAAAGGGATCCATGCAACAAGAAGAGATAACTATCCTCAATATATATGCACCCAATACAGGAACACCCAGTTTATAAAACAAGATCTTAGAGACCTATAAAAAGACTTAGACTACCATACAATAATAGTGGGAAACTTCAATACCCCATTGTCAATATCAGATGGATCAATGAGGCAGAAAATTAACAAGGATACTCAGGACTTGAACTCAGCTCTGGAGCAAATGGACCTAATAGACATCTACAAAACTCTCCACCCCAAATCAACAGAATATACATTCTTCTCAGCACCACATAGCACTTTTTCTAAAATCAACCTCATAATCGGAAATAAAACACTCCTCAGCAAATGCAAAAGAATGGAAAGCATAACAAAGTCTCTCAGACCACAGTGCCATCAAATTAGAACTCAAGATTAAGAAACTCACTCAACAACAACAAAACACACACACACACACACACAAGAAAAAAAAAGAAACTCACTCAAAACCACACAACTGCATGCAAACTGAACAACCTGCTCCTGAATGACTACCGGGTAAATAACAAAATTAAGGCAGAAATAATGAAGTTCTTTGAAACCAATAAGAACAGAGACACAACATACCAGAATCTGGGACAGAGCTAAAGCAGTGTTAAGAGGGAAATTTATAGCACTAAATGCACACATCAGAAAGCAGGAAATATCTAAAATCAACATCCTGACATCACAATTAAAGGAACTAGAGAAGCAAGAGCAAACAAATTCAAAAGCTAGCGGAAGACAAGAAATCACTAAGATCAGCAGAACTGAACTAGATAGAGACAGAAAAAAAACCTTCAAAAAAATCAATCAATCCAGGACCTGGTTTTTTGAAAAGACAAAATAGACTGCTAGCCAGACTAATAAAGAATAGAAGAGAGAATAATCAAATAGATACAGTAAAAACAATAAAGGGGATATCACCACTGATCCCACAGAATTACAAATTACCATCAGAGAATACTATAAACACATCTAAACAAATAAGCTAGAAAATCTAGAATAAATAGATAAATTCCTCAACACATCCTCCCAAGACTAAATCAGGAAGAAGTCGAATCTCTGAATAGAATAATAACAAGTTATGAAATTGAGGAAGTAATTAATAGCCTATCATCCAAAACGAACAAACAAAAAAAGCCCAGGACCAGATGAATTCACAGCCAAATTTTGCCACAAGTACAAAGAAAAGCTAATACCATTCCTTCTGAAACTATTTCCAAATTATAAAGGAAGGGCCTCCTCCCTGACTCCTGTTATGAGGTCAGCATCATCCTGATACCAAAACCTGGAAGAGACACACACACGAAAAGGAAATTTTAGGCCAATATCGCTAACGAACATTGATGGGAAAATCCTTAATAAAATACTTGCAAACTGAATCCAGCAGCACATCAAAAAGCTTACCTACCATGATCAAGTTGGTTTCATTCCTAGGATGCAAGGCTGGTTCAAAATACAAAAATCAATAAATGTAATCCATCATATAAACAGAACCACAGACCGAAATGACATGATTATCTCAATAGTTACAGAAAAGGCCTTTGATAAAATTCAACACTTTTTCATGCTAAAAACTCTCAATAAACTAGGTATTGATGGAACATATCTCAAAATAATAAAAGCTATTTATGACAAACCCATGGCCAGTGTCATACTGAGTGGGCAAAAGCTGGAAGCATACCTTTTGAAAACTGGCACAAGACAAGGATGCCCTCTCTCACCACTCCTATTCAACAGAGTATATTGGAAGTTTTGGCCGGGGCAATCAGGCAAGAGAAGGAAATAAAGGATATTCAGATAGAAAAAGAGAAACTCAAATTATCTGTTTATGGATGACATGCTTGTACATTTAGAAAATCCCATTGTCTCAGCCCAAAATCTCCGTAAGCTGATAAGCAACTTCAGCAAAGCCTCAGGATACAAAATCAACGAGCAGAAATCACAAGCATTTCTGTATACCAATAATAGCTAAGCAGAGAATAAAATCATGAGTGAACTCCCATTCACAATTGCTACAAAGGGAATAATATAACTAGGAATGCAACTTACAAGGGATATAAAGGACCTCTTCAAGGAGAAATACAAACCAGTGCTCAAGGAAATAAATAAGGACACAAACAAATGAAAAAACATTCATGCTTATAGTTAAAAAGAGTCAATATTGTTAAAATGGCCATTTTGCCCAAAATTATTTATAGATTCAATGCTATCCCCATCAAGCTACCATTGGCTTTCTTCACAGAATTATAAAAAACTACTTTAAATTTCATATGGAACCAGAAAAGGGACTGTACAGCCAAGATGATCCTAAGCAAAAAGTACAAAGGTGAAGGCATCATACTACCTGACTTCAAACTATACTACAAGGCTACAGTAACCAAAACAGCACAGTATTGGTACCCAAACGGATATAGACCAATGGAACAGAACAGGGGCCTCAGAAATGACACCACACATCTACAACCATCTGGTCTTCAACAAACCTGACAAAAACTAACAATGGGGAAAAGACTCCCTATTTAATAAATGGTGCTGGGAAGATTGGCTAGCCATATACAGTAAACAAACTGGACCCCTTCCTTACAGCTTATATAAAAACTAACTCAAGATGCATTAAAGATTTAAACATAACACCTACAACCACAAAAATGCGAGAAGAAAACCTAGACAATACCATTCAGTACATAGGCATGGGCAAAGGCTTCAAGACTAAAACACTGAAAGGAATCGCAACAAAAGCAACGTTTGACAAATGGGACCTAATTAATCTAAAGAGCTTCTACACAGCAAAAGAAACTATCATCAGAGTGAACAGGCAACCTACAGAGTGAGAGAAAATTTTTGCAATCTATGCATCTGACAAGTTTAGCATCCAGAATCTACAAGGAACTTAAACAAATTTATAAGAAAAAAACAATCCCATCAAAAAGTGGGAATATGAACAGACACTTCTCAAAAAAAGACATTTATGTTGCCAACAAACATATGAAAAAAAGCTCATCATCACTGATCATTAGAGAAATGCACATCAAACCACAGTGAGATACTATCTCATGCTAGGTAGAATGGCGATCATTAAAAAGTCAGGAAACAACAGATGCTGAATAGGATGTGGAGAAATAGGAATGCTTTTACACTGTTGGTGGCAGTGTAAATTAGTTCAGCCATTGTGGAAGACAACATAGCAATTCCTCAAGGATCTAAGACCAGAAATGCCATTTGGCCCAGCAAACCCATTACTGGGTATATACCCAAATAATTATAAATAATTCTATGATAAAGACACATGCACACATATGTTTATTGCAGCACTATTTACAATAGCAAAGACATGGAACCAACTTAAATGCCCATCAAAAATAGACTGGATAAAGAAAATGTGGCACATATACACCATGGAATACCATGCAGCCATAAAAAAGGATGAGTTCATGTTCTTTGAAGGGACATGGATGAAGCTGGAAACCATCATTCTCAGCAAACTGACACAAGAACAGAAAACCAAATACTGCATATACTCACTCATAAGTGGGAGTTGAACAATGAGAACAAGTGGACACAGGGAGGGGAACATCGCACCCCAGGCCCCGCGAGGGGCTGGAAGGTAAAGGCAGGGAGAGCATTAGGACAAATACCTAATGTACATGGGGCCTAAAACCTAGATGATGTATTGATAGGTGCAGCAAACCACATGAAACACACCTGCATGTTCTGCGCATGTCTCCCATCACTTAAAGTAAAGTGTTTTAACAAAAGAAACATTATTTTCAAAATCACCTCATGTGATTCTGAAGAAGTTATTAAGCAGTGATTACTCATTAAGGAAAAAGTATTTCGATTATTATTTATCACATCAGAAAACATATGCTTCAGATTATAAATCAAAACTTATTCATAGTTCTCATTTTACAACACTGCTAGAATATTTAGCTTCTTTATGCACATATAAATGCATAATTTTATACATGTAAACATTATATTTAATTATAGCCAACATATAATCGAATCATGTTGTCATATTTTATAGGTGATTTTTCCTTTTTTGATTGGATAAATCATAATTTTTCCAGCCATTACTCCATCAATCAGCAATCACTTTGTTTCCAGTTTTTTGCCACTATCAACAACATTGCAAAAAGAAATGTTTGTGTATGTGTCATTCCATACTAGTGACTTTATTGGTATTGGAAGAAATTCTCAGGGATGGAATTGTTGGGTCAAAGGATCTGTGAAGCTTTGAAAATAATTTGTCCTGTATGAGGCGGTTTTTTGGTTATGCAATTGTCTGGAAGCCGCTTGATAAGCCCATCTGAAGAGGCGCTGCTGGGCTGCCTCGGGCTGCGGCTGCTGGGTAGTCTTCCTCTGGGTTTTGTTTACACTGGTGAGGTTAGACCTGCCTTCCCAATGGCGGGCGGCATTCCTCCCACCAAGCTCCATCTTCCTGGCGGGAGTTCAAACTGATGTGCTGGCTGCAAAACTCTAGCAAGAGGGCTTCGATTTGCTGAACTTTGTCGGGGTGGGACCTGCCAAGCCATGTCTCCTATTTCCCTGCTCTCAACTCTCCCTTTCTTGCCAGATTGCTTTCTCCAAATGTTACCATATCTCACACTTCCAAGAGCAGTTTTTGAAATGACCTTTTTCTCTGTATTCCCACCAGTAATCACTATTAATGGTATTTTATATTTTTGTTAGTCTGATTTGTATAAAGTGATACCTCATTGTTAATTATAGTTTCAGTCCTCCAGACACTTAAAAGTATCTGTCATTTGAAATTCATTTTGTGCAAATTGTCTTTTCATAGCTTTGCCCAATTATCCATTGGATGTTACACATACACATACATACACACAATTTACATTCATATATATTAACCCTTTTGTGCTCTGTACAGTTTATAAAGACTCCATGTATACGTGTGTGTGTGTAGTATGCAAAATTAGCTCTGCATTTTATAGATGCTCACAATTTATGTTTTGTATACTTTGAGTTCCAACTCTTGTCCTTTGTCTCATCTATATTTCTTATATGCCATAAATAATATTTCTATAAGAAATACTTCTTCTACATTTCAATTCTAGATGTAGTTGTCCCCAAATTGTCATTTTAAAAACAGAAATCTATCCAGTAACTCATTTCACAATCCTTTGCTTTTGATGTATAGCTTAACTATACATCTTGTTCACATTTTGAATTTTTTCTCTTTTATGTTTTTCTCATGAAAGCAAGTTGTAAAATGCAATTCTAATCATCTTGTCTCATTTGAACCTTTCAAAGTTCTTCACCACCTCCTCAACAGACCCCAAAATGAAATATGAACATAAAATATAGCAGTTAAGACCATTCATTATAGGGCTCTATGCAGCCTTTTCAGCTTAGATTCTCACCACCTATTTCTGTCCACATGACCTCTTGATATTACTACCTATAGCCTATG